ATGTCCTTCTTTATTCTTTAATCTATTTTGCTATTTGGATTACTGATGAAATGGCTGGAAATCCATCAACCATCTTGGGATATGAAGAGGAAGGAATATGTTAGGGATGGCCAAGAGTTGACATTAGCCCTGTATTTCCCACCACCAGGTAAATAAACTTTGCATTTAAGCCACTATATTTTTAGATTTTTGTGTTATTTGCAACTGAACCATAAGTAATTACTGTGAGTAATTCATCTATTTTTTTTCTTCTGTGTGATATCTAATGCTTTACATGGCTCTGAAAGGTACAATATCTCATTTTCAACAGATGGAAAGATAGGCTTTTTTTTTTTCCTTCATTTCTAGGTGGTCATGGTTTCAGGAGAGCTAGTTCGGGCCAACAGCAGCCATCAGAGATGACCACCTAGCAGGACTGAAGACTGGAAAACAGAGAACATCCAGTTCAAGAGGCAAAGGAAAAGGTTGCTTCCAGAGTCAATAGTCAGTGACAAACCTGGAGCAAAATGGTCCTGCCTCCGCTTTTGTCAGATGAGACCCTGAGTCTCAGATTCAGCCCTTCTTCCCCATCTCACTTCCCCATTTTTTTTAAATCTTTATTTTATTTCTTTTTCTGTGGTGCTGAGGATCGAACCCGCACCTTGCACATGCTAGGCAAGCACTCTACCACTGAGCCACAACCCCAGCCCCCACTTCCCCAATCTTAAAATGGTGTTTTGGTCTCCATTGCAGAAGAGTAAAATATCCCACCTCAAATACATTTCCTTGGTATATTCTGAATTGTTTATTCAGAGAAATTATAGTCACAGGAATGGCTCTGAAAAGCTGTCCTTTTGTCAAAGAAATTGACATCTCTCTACACCAAAAAGTGTCAGATGCAGACAGAGCATTTCTTTTCTTTTAAGTTGTAGTTGGACACAGTATCTTTATTTTACTTATTTATTTATATGTGGTGCTGAGGATTGAACCCAGTGCCTCACATATGCAAGGAAAGTGCTCTACCACTGAGCCGCAGCCCCAGCCCCAGACAGAGCATTTCCATCTCATGTTCCCCTGTCTGCTTCAGAGGGACCTTTCCATGCACAAGAAGAGATCAGGGGTCTGACACCTGACCCAGACAGGTGGCTGTTCCCTGGGAGACTTCCTCTTCACACAAGGCCACCCTTGCTCACTGTATACATTGTCCTCCCTAGAAAAGAAGTAGATCAAGTTTTAGAATGATATGAAATAGGTGGGTAGTCACATTCCTGTGATAATCCCCCCAGACTCCCTCCTGTGACATGGCTTCCTTGAGAGGTGGGGGCAGATTTCTCTTTGCACCGTCAATCACTTTATATAAATATCGTTTCCAGGAGTTCTTCCCTCCTGAACTACAGCTTCAGCCACATTGCCACTGCTCACTGGTGGGCTCATCTTGCATATTGCTGGCTGGCCATGTGTGTAAGGATTCTCCATTGTAATGGAAATGCTGGTGGTGGGCTGGGGTGGCCTCTTTGTGCTATCGCATTCTGATGGCCCCTGTTCTACTTCATTCCAAAGTAGCAATCTGGCTACAGTCCTCCAGAGTAACTTCTGCTTTATTCTGCCTACACCTCCCCATACATTCCAATGCACCCTTCTTCCACCCCAAATTCCACGCTAGATTAACTTCAAGCTCTGAGTGACATTGTGGGGTTTTTTTTTTTGTTGTTGTTGTTGTTGTTTGTTTGTTTGTTTTGGGCCAGGTTCTCTTCTCTCCCACTACTCCTACCTGGCTAATTCTAGCAAGTCCCTGCCTGACCCACCTCAACCCACCAGAGCAGGCTGCCCCTTAGGAAACTGGTGTGCTGATTCACAGCAGGTACACAGGAGGGGCACATCTCAGAGCAAAGGAGGCACACCAGATAGCCTGAGTAATGCTGTCTCTGCCAAGGATGAGGATGTAAGGGGTTCATGGTTCTTTGGTCCTTTAATGACAATCACAGTTTTTCTTATCTGTGATTCATATTTTTCCTTATGAGGTATTTAGGGTGGATTTTCTTTAGGTCAGAGGTCCAAAGAGGAGAAGAGAGCAAAAACGAACATTTAGTGAACATGAAGCAGGAGTTAGGTCCTTGTAAACTCTGGACTGTAACACAGCGGTTAAGGGCCTGGGGTTGGAGTGAGTCAGTGCTCACATCTACCCAGATCTGCTAATTACTAGCTCTCTGACTTGGACAAGTCAGTGAATGATAAATAGCACCTGCTGCATGGAGTTGCTGGGAGGTTCACATATGAATTGCTTAGTTTGGGCCCAGCAGATATTATCTCTTACCAGGCTCATTTTACAGATAAGGAAACTGAGTGTCAGAAAACTGACTGAAAACCCTTCACCTACTCTATACCTCCTAAGCTCATGTTCTTTCTACTACACTATGCTGCTAGTACACACTGCTTGTGGGTAGTAGTCCAAGTACCAAAGTTTCTTGAGTCATTAAGTATCATCCTCACTTTGAGAGATTATCTTTGGGCTAAAAACACTTCCCCTGGAAATTGTGTGTGTGTATTGGTGGGGGTAGTGACAGGAAGAACAATAAGCAGGGGATATTCTGTTAGACCCCTCTGTCATTGATCTGTGAGGGCAGCATAAGGTTCTCAACAATCCAGGCACAGAGAGGTAAAGTAACTTTCTCAAGGTAGTACCTCATGAGATAGTCACTAGTGGCAGTGACCTCAAAGAACTCCCCAACTCTGTTTCTGCTCAATTGTGTCCCAGAGTCTTGGGAAACAGCAGGATGGTGTGGTCCTCAACATAGGCCCAGAACTTGGTCTTAGGCTCTCTGCTCCTGTGGGAGGCAGCAGAATGCAGAAGTTAGGACACTGGCTCTGCAGTGAGGCAGAGCTGCTGGAGGGGTCTTGGCATCATTGTTCAAAAGTGGGGAGACATGGACCAAGCATTCGTCTCAGCCTCATTTCCACATCTGTAAATGAACACAGTCACAGCCTCCAAGAGTTACAATTGGATAGGAATATAGGTGAACTGTCAGGTGTTTCATAAATAGTAGCTCTAATTCATATTATGTTTGTTATTACCTGTTGAAGAGGATGTTTTAATGTCCTGGAAGAAAAGCAAACCATCTACCTTGTATACCACCTACCTGGAATAGAAATCCACTTAATTAACAAGCATTCTCATGAGCTGTTGAGACATCTTTTCAGCCCTGTGTTTGGACTGAAAGCTGCCCAGCCATTCTGGCTGGCTGACTGGAGGCTTACCCCACTGCTCAGATGCAGATCTGAGCTCTTTCACTTTCATGAGCAGCCATGGCTGAGGTACCTAGGAGAATCAAGGTCTCCAAGGTTCCTGGGCAGTGACCTGCCTGCTTTCTTACTGTCCTGGTTCACCCACAGCTCTCCCAGAATTCCTTCTGAAGAATGGAGGTTGGTTTGGGCTCTGGAAGTCAATGAGTCCTACAAAAACAAAGTCCTCCATTAGGATTCACAACCAGCAGCCCTCTGGCCACTGTTCTCAGGCCCATATGATTGTTAGGAAAATGTTTCTTTGGACAAGGTTGGTTTTCTTGTTTTCCCCAATTTTGTGCCTTTTAATTGTTTAGGATGGTATAGGGTTAAGAATACCAGTTTTAGAGGGAGGAGCTTGGTTCCAGTAGTCTTTTAAAAATACCCTCTCTCCATCATGTACTTAAGTGAGGCAGCCATTCTCTGGAGCACTGTGCCAAGACCTCTCAGGGATTAGGATTGTCTCATAATCCCTCCTAATATCTCCATTAGATAGCTGCTCCTAACAGATGAGGACATCCAGGCACAGAGAGGTAAAGTAACTTTCTCAAGGCAGTACCTCATGAGATAGTCACTAGAGGCAGTGAGGAAGGAGCCTAGGGTAGGACAAGGCAGAGAAGGAAAAGACAGAAAAAGGAACAGGGAGGAATAAGAGATAACAATCTTATAGAGCCTATTTCCTAAGCCCCAGGGATATGACTTATTTACCTCTACCCTCAGCTTTGTCAGGAGGAGGTTTGGGGATGGATGAAGGTCAGCAAGGATTGGAAGGAAGATTCACAAAGATGCAGAAGGCGTTTGGGAGGATTGGGGTAGAGGTGGGGGGAGGACACTTAGCAGCAGACAAGATGCAAAAAGATTTATTCTTCCCGTGGAGGAGTAAGAAGCCCAAGAGGATGCCTTTCCCAAAGGGTCACCAGCAATCATCTAATTCCATACCTGTGTTTGCATTCCTGGTGAGCTCAGTCTATTAAAGTCGTTAATACCCATAAGCCTAATGCAGCCTGTGGTCAGTGAGACATCAAGGCACATCCCTGGTTCCCTTAGTTACTAGTTTGCTTTAATTTTTGAATTAATGAACAATTTCAGATACCAGAGCCTTGACCCACAGAGAAATGCAAGGTTTAGCCATTTTCTTATCTCTTCCACCAGGTGATTTTCATCCCCTCCCAGCCCTCAGCCCAGTGTCTCAGCACTTTCCTCTTCTCTGTTCCTGAAAGAACCTGCATTTCCTCTGCCCAGCTCCGGTCCTGGCTTCCTGTAGGCTAAGCCTCTTGCAGTTATCATCATGTCTTCAAATACATTTGATAGGTTCAGGAAGCTGCACCAGACGGAAGATGGAACCAGCAATCAATATTAAAAAAAAGGAACTATGTTTGTAAGAAAAATGCATCACTGGTTTCCAACAGGAGTTGTTTGTGTACCATATGCCCTAATATCCGGGACAATGTATCTAATCTTTATCTTTTGTGCTTGGATCTCCCCAGCCATCTCAACAAGAAAGAAAATAGATCTTTTAACCTGCTGTTACCAGCTTTCTGATATTCTATAGTAAAGACTGCCTTTCCTTTTAACCCATTCATTCATCAGACAGCACAAAATAAAATACACCCCCCCCCATCTATTTCTCCCGGCTACTAGTTTAGTATATTTATGGTGCATGAGTCATCGAGCTGCTGCCTGATTGGATAAAAACCAAGCACCCCTGAGACCGTCAGTCAATTACAGCTATTCTCAGCTTCATTCACAGATTTATTAGCTTGCACACACGGAGAGAAATTCATTCGGCAAAGTTCATTCATAAAAATTTCAACACTCTGCTTATCATTCTGCACATCTCAGCCTTCTGCTGCGAATGGGCTCCTGAAAGAAGCTCCAAGAGTCCGGGAGGGAGGGAAGCTCTGAGCCAGGGTGGGCAGGCTGGGAGGGAATCTGAGGAACACGGCGGGGTGGGGTGGGGGAGAATGGAGGGATCGGGAGTCAGTGAAACAATACGGAGCAGCGCCTGTCGCTAGTACTCCTGGCTTGTGGCCCAGAATGGGATGCAAGACCAGATCTTCCAAGAGAGGGCAGCCATCAGAATCAAAGAACCCAGACAGAAGGGCCTTTGACTCATATATACATTATATTTTTCCTCTTTAAATGAACAATCACTGGAACAGATAAAGGGTTAATAGGCCAGTCATTGCCCCGCCCTGTGGGAGCAGGTTTGAAAGTTCCTGTGAGCAGAAGGGGAGGCTGGGGGAAGGGGGGGGGGGGTGCGTGCTACATATTTCTGCTAGATTCCTGCAAGGCTAGAGATGCAGCTGGACCGGCTGGCCAGTGTTCTACTGGGTTCTGTTCGGAAGAGTTGGCGGTGAGGGATCCCTGTCGCTGGTAGCCTGGGTGCAGGCTTTCCCAGCAAGGAATCCGAGGCGAGAGCACCGGGCCCCTGCCTCGGTCAGGGAGGGACTGAAATCAGAGATGGGGAGGCGTTTCCCCCTGGGCTGTCATCCTTAAGCGTCCGGAGCCGAGGCTGGCAAGGGTTAGAGCAGAATTAGAGAGGTGGCTGCTACGGTTTGCGAATTGCACGGGGCGTTGAGGCATTTGATGTCCATACCGGTTATCTGCCAGACAACGAAGCGATTTATGCTACAATATCCTGTTTCAGCACTGCCAAGGCTATGCGAGAACGCGGCCAGGACAGCCTGGCAGGACTCGTGCTGTATGTAGGACTCTTTGGGCACCCCGGGATGCTGCACAGGGCCAAGTACAGCCGCTTTCGGAACGAGTCCATCACGTCTTTGGATGAAGGCAGTCCTGGAGTCTCTGTCGGGAACAAGGGCTCGCCGCAGCCACCCCACCCTGGTCTGGCACCTCACCTGCCGGCTGAAGATGCCACCTTGCCAACCCAGGAGAGCCCCACCCCACTGTGCACCTTGATCCCCCGCATGGCCAGTATGAAGCTGGCCAACCCTGCCACTTTATTGAGTCTGAAAAACTTTTGTCTGGGTACCAAAGAGGTGCCCCGGCTGAAGCTCCAAGAAAGCCAGGATCCGGATCCCAGTAGCCCGGCATCCCCTGAAAGCAGTCTGAATAAAATCGGGTCTGCACCTGCAAGGCAGCCGGACCTGTTGGGACACAGGGTGACCTCCTTAAGCCCTGATGCTTGCCCACTTCCTGGTCCTGGAGAACCAACCCCCAAAAGCAGGCAGGACAGACACTTTCTGCAGCCCCTGTTGGGGATGGGCATGAACTTCTGCGTGAGGGTAAGTCCATTTCCCTCTCTGCACTCCTGAGGACTCTGGGGGAAAGAGACATTTTCCCTGATTTCTGCAAGGGGCTGCACATTACCTGGCTGGGTTCCAGATTTGAACAAGACTTTGTGCAACTGGGCCAAGGGAGAGGGGAGCTGGCTTTACACATTTTCCAATAAATATCTGGCATGTATCAGAGTCAGAAAGACAACCTTTGGTTCAAGGGCATGAACTGGTGCAAACTTGTAGATAGTTGCTTGTGTAGGGACAACTTTTGATACAGACAGCTGAGGTGGCACCTTCTTGTCTCCATTGGACCTAACATTGTGGCAAAAAGAGTCAAGGATTTCAAATCTGAATAGTGATTGAGACTTGGTAGATTATAATGGCTGTTGTATTTTGGATGAATCCAATAGAAATTTCTGTTAAAGAGGAGCATGAGGTATATAAGGGAGCTTGAATTAGTTCTGAAAAAATTAATTCAACATTTAACAAACACTTCTCAAAATATGGCCGAGTCTCCAACCCTTGTGCTAGGAGGAGGTCTTAGCTCCTCCGTGCATATTTATTGCCTACACTGCAGCAAGTAGGCCTTGTCCATGGGCTACGTGCAAAATCAAGGCTCTCACTAGCCTTGCATCTGTCCTTGCCCAGTTAAGATCTGGCCCCTTGCCCTTTTAAAGCTTAGATCCCAATGAACACTTGTAAAATAATAAGAGAACAATGCTTACCTATTGATATCTAGTGTGATAATGCTGAGGGAATTCAGAAAAAGGGAAAGATGCTTGTGATCTGAGATTCATTCATGTGGTAAACCTTCAAGGGAAGGTGCATCTTGGAAAAAATATCATATCTAGAGGAGATTCCTGGAGGTGCAAGAATAGGAGCAAAGACATTGTGGTGGTGGCAGGGAACCCTACGTAGGACTTCCTTGAAGAGAAAGGAGGATGCTGGAAAGTGGAGATAGTGGGTGATAAAGAGAGTGGCTGGTATCACAGTGCTCAAACAAACATGAATAAAGACAAGTATAGATTCTGCTTAGTTTAGGGATGAGGGGCAGTTGTCTAAAGCTCTCCAATGCCAAATGAGAGGGTTGTAAACACTCTGAATGGTGAACAAGAACCCTCCCTGGTCTGTAGGCAAATCATGACTTGGTGGCAGTAGTTTTAAAAGATCAGACTATTGATTTATTGGACATGAATTGAAGCAGGGAAAAATTTGCGGCTGGAAGGCCAGTGAGAAATCTTGTTATTGCTTTTGTTTGTGAAGACTGAGGATGATTATTGTGAAGAGTGAAAAATTACTTTCAAATTTAAGTCATGGAATGACATTAGCAATGTCAATGAAAGAAAAGGAGTGAATTAGGGAGGGGGATTTGTGCTAAGTGTGCTTTTGAAAGATAACATTAAAATAATATTATCTAGTGGTGCTAATACATAGGTAGAGAGCAGAATAAGACTGGCACTAATGTGAGATTTTTGATCTAAAGGTATTGATTTGAGAACTACTGCAATAACTGGATCACAGACAGACAAGAGGGGATCTTGAGGAAGGCCAAATAATAAATTCTGGAAGGGTTGTAGAGGGAGCAGGCTCAGGGCATCCTCAACAGATGGGCACCTGCAACCTGAAAGATAAATGTATGGAGCACTCAGTTCTTGCCTTCCAGCACAGTGAGTGGCCCATATTGGAAACACTTTAATGTGTCTACTGAAAGTTCATTTGTCAAGCTTCAGTGCGTGCCAAATCCTCATAGGAAAACAAGTGACTCTCTTAACCCATGCTCTCTGCATCTGTCCTTCTGTGGCCTGCAGATCCTCTGCCCTCTGCTTCACCTTCCCTTCTGTCTTGTACCTCTTGCCACCTCCCCACACTCACACACCTGTACAGTTTTAAATGTGGAATAGTTGCTATGCAATCTCTATTTTCCCTGGGAAGTGATCTAGCTGGCATTTTAGGTTTTTAATGAGGTCACCAGCTGTCTTTTCATGACAATGATAACTGACCCCAGGAAAAGTGCTGACCCCATGACCCAGATGCACACTAGATAATGCCAATAGCTGTGATGTGACTCCAGTTACTACCTCTCTTACAAAGTCACAATACATAGAAGAGCTTACTTGAATTTTTATACAATCCTAACTTTGCAATTTAGAAGGATCCTATTCACCAACTTATCAATATCAGTGCCTCTATGAGGAAACTGTACCCTAAAGAAGTAATTTTTAAGGCCACATGTTGAGTCCAAAGCAGATTGAGATTTGGAACCCAAGTCTCCCGTGTATCATTCTTGGTGCTCTTTCCCACAGGTTCTCATCCTGATCGATGTTCTTGTCCTAAGAATCCTTTTGAGACATGAACCCCTTTTTAAAAGCTGCAATGCCAACCTATTAATATACAGTGAAAAAATATCATACCAAGTGAACCACAATTGTGATCCATGTAACTCATCTGCAGGAAAAAGCACATAGGAAGATTTAAGTCAGTGCTTGCTTAATGATGATGTCTTTGGATCCAGAAGTCATGTTCTTAATGGCTAGTGGACTGGGCGGGAGGGGAGGGGCGGCAGAATTTTGTAGGCAAAATCTGCCTCATAGTCTAGTCTATATCCATGACATGTAACTGCTCCCCTCCCTGCCCAAACTTATTTGCCAACTCATCCACTCATTTATTCAACAAGTATGGACTGTGAAACAATTATGTGGTAAGAACTGTTCTAGTTTTTGTTCTGGGCATCCGTGAGCAAATCGGACCAGGTGTGAGCCCTAATGGAACTTTCATTCTAGTGCATGGAGTTGGGGCCTAATAAAACAAGAAAGTCGATTTTTCAGAGGGCAGTGAGTGCCACGGAGAGCAATGATGCAGGGTAAGTGAAATAGGCAGCACCTGGATGAAGAAGGCATATATTCCTTCTGGGTATAAAACCGGTAATGTTATAGCTTCTTTTCATTTTCTTGCATCTTTTCTCTTTGCAATAGGGACTGTACTTTTCATCTACTCTAAGTTAGCATTGACATTGGGTTAAATGTCTTTTTAGAAAAGGACTTCCATTGGTATTATGACATAAAATTAGTAACACAGTTAAGAAGCACTATGAATCCTAAGCACCTCCCACCTGCAGAGGGAGCAGGCTCAGGGCATCCTCAACAGATAGGCACCTGCAACCTGAGTAACTTTCATTTTTAAGCTTAGACTTTGAACCCCCTGAAGTCTCTCTGGAAAGACGTCCTGGCAAACCATTTTCTGAGAGATACCAAGCCAGGAATGAGACAGTCAGGCCCTGGTTTGGGCAAAGTAGTGAGGTGGCTGAAGTCCATTAAGTGGTGTCAAATGGTGACTTTCATTCTCATCATAAAAGTAAGTATTGTTTCTTAATGAGGTCTTCCCAAGGCACTTCAGTCATCAACAGTCACTCACTTAAAGGTCTCCAAGGTGCCCAACATAATCTGCAGTAAGTGTAGAAAATACATAATGTGATCAGCACTCTCACTCTAAAATGAGAGAATTTCCCTCTGTGTTCTTCAAAGTGTCTCCTATCATGAGTGTTTAATGACTCCAAGACTCCTTTTTTCACATGGGAGGTGTTTAAAATGTTTAGTTCCTTTTCCAACCACACCCCAACCCTGAACCTGCTTCAAAGACTAAATAAAGCAGAAGCAAAGAAACTGACTCTGACAGAGCTTCTCCAAGTAACCTCAGAGGTTCTCACAACAATGCTCTGAAGAAGACTGTATTCTCCAGGTCAGGACACTGACACCCCAAGGGTTTGGGATTTGCATTTACATTACAACTAGTAAGCAGTAGAGTGTGGATTCCTATCCAGGTTTGACTCCTGTGGTCTTATTCCTGCATTTCACCTACCTTTGAGCAAGACTGGAAGTTCATGAATGAAATAGTGTAGATGGAGAACCATACTAGGCAGGACAGCTTTGATGCAGAACCAGCCCATAGAACTTGGCATTTATTTGCACGATTCTATACTCTTCACTTCTACCCAACCATTTTCCCCAGACTGTATTAGTTTGCTATTGCTGCTATAACAAGTATCACAAACTGGGCAGCTTGCAACAACAGAAATTTATTTTCTCACAGTTCTGGAGGCGAGAAGTCCCAAGGCAAGGTATCAGCAGGGCCATGCTGTCTCTGAAGGCTCTAGGGGAGGAATCCTTCCTCACCTCTTCCAATTTCTGGTGGTTGTCAGCAGTTCTTGCTGTTTCCTAGCTTGTAGATGTATCACTTCATTCTCTTCTTGTCTTCACATAGCATTCTGCCTGTGTGTCCATGACCAAGTTTCTCTCTTCTTATAAGAACACTAGTCATTGGATTTGAGCCCATCCTAGTCAAACTTGACTCCATCTTAACTTGAATACATCTGCAAAAACCTATTTCCAAATGAGGTCACATTCACAGATTCTGGGGAGGTTAAGATCTGAACATATTTTTCCTGGGAGTTTTAGTTCAACACATAACAGTCCCCCAAAACATTTATTGCAATGTGTTTGCTTACATAGGTATCCTTGTGTTCATCAGCTTTGTGTGTAAATACAAATTTGTCTTGAGAGATTTTCTTACCTTCCTTTGTGAATATCACATTTACTCTGACAAATCACCTTGTTCTGTCTAGTGTTGTATCTTATTTCTGAACCAATAATCTTGTATTGTCAGTATTCTATTTTCAAGACTAGATATAGTTCACCAAACTAAAATGTTATGTCTACCTCAAATATCTTTTCCACAGGAGAGTGTAGGTCTAGAAGTCAGACAGGCTGGGTTAAAGCATGATGCTGACTGGCTGTGTGACCTTGGTGAGTCACTTCACCTCTTTGGGGTTTCATCTTCTCACATTTGAAATAAGAAGACTGAATAAAATGTTGTTTATTCTCTTGAGATTCCAAGCCTTCTTTTCCTCATGTCTGAAATCTCTTACTATTAGGATTTTTTTTTTTTTTTTTTTGGTTAGAAAGAGGTCTCTGGAAGAAATAATTTTTAGCATTATCTTGTGAACAGAGAGG